TACTTCCATCATTTTATTTTAGTCTATTTCAGTGTATTCACCTTTCAAATTTTCAAACGATTTCCTTTTTTTCTTTTTTCTCTTTGTCATTTCTTTTCTTTTTCTTGAATGCAGAAAGAGAAAAACTTCGTTTTTACTTTCAATTTTATTAAAAATATTTTTATTTAAATTTTTTACTGTATTTTTTGCTTTTATGTAAATTTTTTCAAGTTTCTATTTAACTTCCATCATTTTATTTTAGTCTACTACAGTGTATTCACTTTTGCAAATTTTCAAACAATTTTTTTCTCTTTTTCGTTTCTTTTTCTTGAAAACAGAAAGAGAAAAAAATTCATGTTTATTTTTAATTTTTATTAAAAATATTTTTCCTTAATTTTTTTCTACTATATTCTTTACTTTTGTGTAAATTTTTTTAAATTCCATTTTACTCCCATCATCTCATTTTAGTCTACTTCAGTGTATTCATTTTTTCAAATTCTCAAACGATTTCCTTCACCCCCCCTTTTCTTTTCCCTAATCTGTCAAGCCACTTTCAACACCCGGACCAAAACACACCTAGGATCTAGCATCATTTATTAGATGTGTGTGTGTGTGTTTAATTTTTTAATTTTAATATTTCTTTAATTTTTTCTACCTCATTAATTCCTATTATCCCTTCAAAATGGCAAAACGAAGGAATTCACCCCAAAAGAAAAAGCATGAAGAAATGACAGCCAGGGATTTAACCAACACAGATACAAGCAAGATGTCTGAACCAGAATTTACAATCACGATAATAAGAATACTAGCTGGAGTCAAAAATAGATTAGAATCCCTTTCTCCAGAGATGAAAGAAGTAAAAAATAGCCAGAATGAAATTAAAAATGCTATAACTGAGCTGCAATCACGGATGGATGCCATGGCGGCAAGGGCGGATGAGGCAGAACAGAGAATCAGCGATATAGAGGACAAACTTACAGAGAATAATGAAGCAGAAAAAAAGAGGGAGATGAAGGCAAAAGAGCACGATTTAAGAATTAGAGAAATCAGTGACTCATTAAAAAGGAACAACATGAGAATCATAGGGGTCCCAGAAGAGGAAGACAGAGAAATAGGGGTAGAAGGGTTATGTGAGCAAATCATAGCGGAAAACTTTCCTAACCTGGGGAAAGACACAAACATCAAAATTCAGGAAGCACAGAGGACCCCCATTAGATTCAACAAAAATAGGCCATCAACAAGGCATATCATAGTCAAATTCACAAAATACTCAGGCAAGGGGAGAATCATGAAAACAGCAAGGGGAAAAAAGTCCCTAACCTACAAGGGAAGACAGATCAGGTTTGCAGCAGCCCTATCCACAGAAACTTGGCAGGCCAGAAAGAAATGGCAGGATATATTCAATGTGCTGAATCAGAAAAATATGCAGCCAAGAATTCTTTATCCAGCAAGGCTGTCATTCAAAATAGGACAGATAAAAAGTTTCCCAGACGAACAAAAATTAAAGGAATTTGTGACCACTAAACTAGTCCTGCAAGAAATTTTAAGGGGGACTCTCTGAGGGGAGAAAAGATGGTAAAAAAATATATATATAGAATTTTATAGAGGGAGAATTTTATAAATTATATATATATAAATATATATAGAACTTTATATATTCCAGAAACTCCAACTCTACAAGCCACATAATGGCAATAAATTCATATCTTTCAGTACTCACTCTAAACGTCAATGGACTCAATGCTCCAATCAAAAGACATAGGGTAACAGAATGGATAAGAAAACAAGATCCATCTACATGCTGTTTACAAGAGACCCACTTTAGACCTAAAGACACCTTCAGATTGAAGATAAGGGGATGGGAGGCAGCCATCTTGCTCTTGCCACGTGCTGTTGTTGAAGGACCCTCCCCGCTTCAGATTTACCAACAGCATGAATCAAGAAAAGTTAGCCAAACTTCAGGCTCATGTCCGGATAGGGGGCAAGGGTACAGCTCGCAGAAAGAAGAAGGTGGTACATAGAACAGCTACAGATGATGACAAAAAACTTCAGAGTTCTCTAAAAAAACTGGCTGTGAATAATATAGCTGGTATTGAAGAGGTGAACATGATTAAAGACGATGGGACAGTTATCCATTTCAACAATCCCAAAGTCCAAGCTTCCCTTTCTGCTAACACCTTTGCAATTACTGGTCATGCAGAAGCCAAACCAATCACAGAAATGCTTCCTGGAATATTAAGTCAGCTTGGTGCTGACAGCTTAACAAGTCTTAGGAAGTTAGCTGAACAGTTCCCTCGGCAAGTGTTGGAGAGCAAAGCACCAAAACCAGAAGACATTGATGAGGAGGAGGAGGATGTTCCAGATCTCGTAGAAAATTTTGATGAGGCATCAAAGAATGAAGCTAACTAAAAAATTTTTTCTGGTGTTTGGAAGCTGGCATGGACTAGATTTAACAAATCAGCTATGTGGTTCCAAAGTTTTACAGACATGGAGAACATCAACTGTTACTCGTTCAGTAATATAAATATTTTGTATATTAATAATGCTGTTTGTTCAGCATTTTTCGGTCATTTGATTTTGCATTTTGCACTTCCTCCCAGGATCTATTCTTTTGGTCAAAATACGAAGTATTGGTGCAGTTTGAGGGTGTTTTGGTGTTTGATTCTCAGTTTTTTGTTTTGTTTTTTGTTGGAGTATTTTTGGTGTGTGTATGTGTATGTATGTGTGTGGGTATGTGTGTATACAGTGGAGAGCAAATTGGAAAACAGTTCTATCTATCCTCCTTCGTTCCCCAGTAGAAATAAAACAAATCTTTACATTTGTTACTTTTTATTTTTTTCTAATAATGCAGAGAATTAATGAAAAGTGAGTATCTTGGATTTCAGATCTGAGGAGATTTTACCCTTGGAAGTTTGGTCAATTTGCTTGGTTAACATATTTGTCATACATTTCTCTGGCTTTAAAATGTCTTGAGATATTTTGCCACCAGCTCCATGTTGGCATAGTGGATAGCATACTTTGGTGTGGTTGCCTTAGATTCACTTACCTAGTCAGACCCAGAAGATTTTCTTCTAGCTTTCTTCCTAAATGCCTTTTTCCCTCTCCCTTTGGTCTCCCAGTGGCCTGGTCAGCCTTTGGTAATGCTCTTCCTCATCTTCTACCTAGCCTGAGAAGGATGTTCTCCATATAGAGTTAAGTGAGTGCCTAATCCCCTCTTTCTGTAAGACATTTTTCCCCCATCTTGAGGAACAACAACTCCATCTTCAACTTTTTATTTCCCCGTTAATTTTATAGTTTGGTAGATTTCAAACTGGAATAGCTAGCATGTGCTTGCTAAATAATTTTATGCCACCCTTATCCTGTATACTAGCTGTTCTTAATAGCAGGTGCAAAAATACCTGTTTCCAGCAAGGTTAAAATGAGGAATGTTCTTTTTGAGTCAGAACAAGATAGGCCATAGACTCATTCCCCAGCACAAAATGTCATTCTATGAAATGGTACTGGCCCCAGGAGGATTTCTTCAACCACTCTCCTACTATTGGTCTTGAACCTACCTCTGGATTGGATCTTACTGTTGTAGCTGCTCACAGCATCCTCCTGCATGCTTAGAGTAATGCTTTTGGGGGGACACTGGTAAAATACAGTATTTATTTTTTCACCTCCTTTCAGAAGACTTGGAGGTAAGTTGCATTCATTAATTCAAGATTCCCTCTTGCTGTCTGATGATAAAAGCTTGCATTTTGCCATATCAGCATTTGTTATAGCCAATATTTAAGGATAAGATTTAGAAAACCTGTCATTTCCTGGCCTACCAGCAAACTAACTGTGGCTTAACCTTGTAGCATATCAGCTTTTGTTTCAAGCTAGATATCTTTGTTTGATATCTAAAGTGCAAGACCAACAACATATCAAGAGGTCTATAGACAAGAAGGCAAAGCTCTTGTATTTTTTTCATCCAGACACTTCAATTTATTTTATAAATTTGTTCATTTTTCCCGTTCTGTTTTATATAATATATGGACTTAACTACAAAATAAAGTAACAGTAATAAAATAACAAAAGAGGATAATAAAAAAAAAGAAAAAAAAAAGAAAATAAGGGGATGAAGAACCACCTATCATGCTAATGGTCAACAAAAGACAGCCAGAATAGCCATACTTATATCACACAATCTAGACTTTAATATAAAGACTGTATCAACAGATGCAGAAGGGCATTATATCATAATCGAGGGGTCTATCCACCAAGAAGACCTAACAATTGTAAACATTTATGCGCCAAATGTGGCAGCACCCAAGTATATAAACCAATTAATCACAAACATAAAGAAACTCATCGATAGTAATACCATAATAGTAGGAGACTTCAACACCCCACTCACAGCAATGGAAAGATCATCTAATCAAAAAATCAACAAGGAAACAATGGCTTTTGAATGACACACTGGACCAGATGGACTTAACAGATATATTCAGAACATTTCGTCCTAAAGCAGCAGAATACACATTCTTCTCCACTGCACATGGAACATTCTCCAGAATAGACCACATACTGGGACACAAATCAGCCCTCAGCAAGTACAAAAAGATCGAGATCATATCGTGCATAGTTTCAGACCTCAACGCTATGAAACTCAAAATCAACCACAAGAAAAAAATTGGAAAGGTAACAAATACTTGGAGACTGAGGAACATCCTACTAAAGAATGAATGGGCTACCCAAGAAGTTAAAGAGGAAATTAAAAAGCACATGGAAGCCAATGAAAATGATAACACCACAACCCAAAACCTCTGGGATTCAGCAAAGGCGGTCATAAGAGGAAAGTATATAGCAATCCAGGCCTTCCTAAAGAAGGAAGAAAGATCTCAGATACACAACCTAACCTTACGCCTTAAGGAGCTGGAAAAAGAACAGCAAATAAAACCCAAAACCAGCAGAAGACAGGAAATAATAAAGATTAGAGCAGAAATTAATGCTATCGAAACCATAAAAACAGTAGAACAGATTAATGAAACCGGAAGCTGGTTCTCTGAAAGAATTAACAAAATTGATAAACCACTAGCCAGTTTGATCAAGAAGAAAAAGGAAAGGACCCAAATAAATAAAATCAAGAATGAAAGAGGAGAGATCACAACCAACACAGCAGAAATAAAAACAATAATAAGAGAATATTATGAGCAATTATATGCCAATAAAATGGGCAATCTGGAAGAAATGGACAAATTCCTAGAAACATATACACTACCAAAACTGAAACAGGAAGAAATAGAAAATTTGAGCAGACCCACAACCAGTAAGGAAATCGAAAGAGTAATCAAAAATCTGCCATAAAACAAGAGTCCAGGGCCAGATGGCTTTCCAGGGGAACTCTACCAGACATTTAAAGAATAGTTAATACCTATTCTCTTGACGATGTTCCAAAAAATAGAAATGGAAGGAAGACTTCCAAACTCTTTCTGTGAAGCCAGCATTACCTTGAATCCAAAACCAGACAGAGATCCTACTAAAAAGGAGAACTAGGGGCGCCTGGGTGGCTCAGTCGGTTGAGCGTCCGACTTCGGCTAAGGTCATGATCTCACGTTCCGTGAGTTCGAGCCCCGCGTCGGGCTCTGTGCTGACAGCTCAGAGCCTGGAGCCTGTTTCAGATTCTGCGTCTCCCTCTCTCTGACCCTCCCCCGTTCATGCTCTGTCTCTCTCTGTCTCAAATATAAATAAACGTTAAAAAAAATTTTTTTTTTAAAAAAAGGAGAACTATAGACCAATTTCCCTGATGAACATGGATGCAAAAATCCTCAACAAGGTATTAGCCAACTGGATCCAACAATACATTACAAAAATCATTCACCACGACCAAGTGGGATTTATACCTGGGATGTAGGGCTGGTTCAATATCCGTAAAACAATTAACGTGATTCATCATATCAATAAAACAAAGGACAAGAACCATATGATCCTCTCAATAGATACAGAGAAAGCATTTGACAAAATACAGCATCCTTTCTTGATAAAAACTCTCAAGAAGGTAGGGATAGAAGGAGTATACCTCGAGATCATAAAAGCCATATATGAATGACCCAACGCTAATATCATATTCAATGGGGAAAAACTGAGAGCTTTCCCCCTAAGGTCAGGAACAAGACAGGGATGTCCACTCTCACCACTGTTATTCAACATAGTATTGGAAGTCCTAACCTCTGCAATCAGACAACACAAAGAAATAAAAGGCATCCAAATCAGCCAGGAAGAGGTCAAACTTTCACTCTTCACAGATGACATGATACTCTATATGGAAAACCCAAAAGATTCCACCAAAAAAACTGCTAGAACTGATTCTTGAATTCAGCAAAATTGCAGGATATAAAATCAATGCACAGAAATCAGTTGCATTCCTATACACCAACAATAAAGCGACAGAAAGAGAAATCAAGGAATCAATCCCACTTACAGTTGCACCAAAAACCATAAAATACCTAAAAATAAATCTAACCAAAGAGGTGAAAAATCTATACACTGAAAACTATAGAAAGCTTATGAAAGAAATTGAGGAAGACACAAAAAAATGGAAAAAGATTCCATGCTCCTGGACAGAAAGAACAAATATTGTTAAAATGTTGATACTACCCCAAGTAATCTACATATTCAATGCAATCCCTATCAAAATAACACCAGCATTTTTCACAGACCTAGAACAAATAATCCTAAAATGTGCATGGAACCAGAAAAGACCCCGAATAGCCAAAGCAATCTGGAAAAAGAAAACCCAAGCAGAAGGCATCACATCATAATCCCAGACTTCAAGCTATACTACAAAGCTGTAATCATCAAGATAGTATGGTACTGGCACAAGAACAGACAGTCAGATCAAGGGAACAGAATAGAGAACCCAGAAATGGACCCACAAACATACGGCCAACTAATCTTTGACAAAGCAGGGAAGACTATCCAATGGAATAAAGAAAGTCTCTTCAGCAAGTGGTGCTGGGAAAACTGGACAGCGACACGCAGAATGAACCCGGACCACTTTCTTACACCATACACAAAAATAAACTCAAAATGGATGAAAGACCTCAATGTAAGACAGCAAGCCACCAAAATCCTCAAGGAGAAAGCAGGCAAAAACCTCTTTGACTTCGGCCGCAGCAACTTCTTACTCAACACGTCTCCAGAGGCAAGGGAAACAAAAGCAAAAATGAACTACTGGGACCTCATCAAGATAAAAAGCTTTTGCACAGTGAAGGAAACAATCAGCAAAACTAAAAGGCAACTGACGGAATGGGAGAAGATATTCGCAAATGACATGCCAGATAAAGGGTTAGTATCCAAAATCTACAAAGAACTTATCAAACTAAATACCCAGACAACATATAATCTAGTGAAGAAATGGGCAAAAGACATGAATAGACACTTCTCCAAAGAAGACATCCAGATGGCCAACTGACACATGAAAAAATGCTCCACACCACTTGTCATCAGGGAAATACAAATCAAAACCACAATGAGATACCACCTGACACCTGTCAGAATGGCTAACATTAACAACTCAGGCAACAACAGATGTTGGCGAGGATGCGGAGAAAGAGGATCCCTTTTGCATTGTCGGTGGGAATGCAAGCTGGTGCAGCCACTCTGGAAAACAGCCTGGAG